CAAGAGCGATCAGGGAGACTAGGTGGGAGGCCCAGCGTACATGCAAGTGAGAAGTGGCTGGTTTAGTGTAAGGCTATAGTGTGGAGATGGAGAGAAATATATGCCAGGGGTCACTCTCACAGGATTTACTGATGGAGTAGATGTGGCCGGGGAGGAAGAGGACTGGAAAAGAAAGGAAATAATAAAGGATGGGGTTTGGGGCTTTTCAGCATCAGGTAGACAGTTGAGAGGCAGTAGAGTATAGTGACTAACAGCCTGGAAGCCAAATCCAGACGGCTGGGGCAGTACTACTTAGCATTACGTCACCTTGGGTGTGTTACTTACCTCTCTGTTTTCAGTTTCCTCAACTGTAACAAGGGCTGAGTAAGGGCTGGTTTTAACTTTGTGTGAGATATATAAGGTGTTACCTAATAGTATCATTATGAGTTGGTGCCATTTCATGAAGTGGGAAAATTTGTAAAAGAAATAGATAGGGGGGTGAGGGAAATACAAAACAATGCTTTTGATCTGTTAGATTTGAGATGCCTTTTGGACAGCAAAGTAGAAATATCAAGGAGGCAGTTTAAGAATGGCTATTTCACATAAAGAAGTGGAATGTTATGACCCTTGCCTTTCAAATTAGAGGAAAATATCCAACTACTCTATCTTATTTCCTTTGCTTTGATTGGCAGGAGCAGCAGGGGCCTTTCTGAAGGCTTATGCAAAGCAGTTGAAGAGAAAGGATTAACACTATTTGCTGAGGGTAAAAGAAGGAATGCAGTGTTTAAAGAGATGTAGGCATTCTTTCTATTCCTTCCAATTCCTCCCATCCTAATGAAGGGGAAGATAACAGTTGGGCAGTGAAGGGCAGACCATAAAAAGAGTGGCTTAACTGGCGTGGGGGTGGGAGATAACCATAGTGAGGGGAGTTCTTGGGATGGTAGACTGCCCAGGGACCTTTTTTTCTTAAATTGCAGCCAAAATTTATTGGCCACATAGTAAAATAACCACTTAAAGGTGTTCTGCTGTCCCTGACTCTAGATTTGGAAAAGTGTGTATAAGAATCTGAACATAGAGTGAAAGTTGTGGCTGGGGCTGCTGAATCTCAAAGCATTTCTAAAAGGAACATTGTTGTTTGACTTAAAAGTAAAGGTATAAAACTTGGCAAATACAGGAATCCACAAAAAAAAACCATCATCTTTATATTTCGATATCCTTATAGTCCATTTTTCTAAGTAATGCATATTTTAAACATATTTTCACTTAGTAATATATCCTGGATATTTTCCCATGTCATTACATGATATATTTATAGTTATCAAATAGCTATGTAGTATTCTAATCTGTGGATGAATCATAACTTATTTTCTAATCCCTTGTATTTTAAAATTTCCAAATTTTTCACTTTTATAAGCAAGATATTTTGAAATTCATAGAGATAAATCTTTCTATTCACATGCAGTTATTTCCTTAGGATAATTTTTGCTAGACTCAAACTTGCATATTTTTAAGACTATTAATTCATAATGACTCATTACCTTGCAATAAGATTTTATTGATTTATAATCTCAGCAGTGTTTGTAAATACTTCCTAGCTAATACTGGGTAGTATAACTAAGAAAAAAAAAAAATCCTAGTTTAATGAAAACTTGTACTCCTGCATCTTTGGCTCTTTGTATTCTTTCCTTTGTGACTCACCTTAGTACAACCTTTGCTCACTTTTTAATGGTATGTCACTCTTTTCCTTATTCTTTATTTTCTAATGTTTTACTTGGAAATAATTTCAAACTTACAAAAAGTTGTAAACATGATGATAGTACAAAGAGCACACAAATAGGCTTTACCCAGATTCATCTATTATTAATGTTTTAACCCATTTGTTTTTTCCCCTCACCCCTACCCCTGTCCCCTCAACCTTTTCTCTCTCTCTCTCTCTCCCCCTGAAACCCACACACAAATTTTCCTGCACCATTTGAGGATAAGTTACATACAACACGACCCTTTACTTCTAAATAGTTTAGCCTGCCTTTCCTCAGGACAGTGATACTTCATATAACCAGGAGGGTAATCAATGTTATAATTTTACATGCAATAATTACATTAATAATATTCTAATCTAGCATCCATATTCTAATTTTCTGAGTGGGCCTTTATAATATTTTCTCCTCTAGCACATAGTCCAGGTAGGGTCAGCCTACTTGGTATGTCTCTTTAGCCTCCTTAAATCTGGAATATTTCCAGTCCGTCTTTGTCTTTTTATGACATGGACATTTTTGAAGAACGCAGAACCCCTCATACTTTTTTAAATAAAATATTTTTCATTTTGTATTTTTCTGGTTTCTTCTTGATTGGATTAAGGATATGTACTCTCAGCCAGAAAACCACATAGGTGAGAACGGGCACTTCTCAGAGCACCACATCTAAAGGCACATGATCATCTGCCTCTCGTTGGTGATGTTAATTTTGATCACCTGGTCAAGGTATTGCTCAATTTTTCCACTGTATTAGTACTGAGGGGTTTTGTTCTCTTTCAACCAGTAAGCAGTCTATAAGAGACACTTTAGGTACATACACATGCTCTGCTTTTCATCAACACTTATCCCTAGATACAGCATCCATTAATGATTTTTGCCTCACCTAATCTTTATGACAGTCATTGCTAGATGATGATTTTTCCAACTCCAAGTCTCCCTGACCATTTATTAGTAAGCCCTCAGCATTCTACTTTAAATAGGAGCCTCCCTTCTTCCCATTATTTATTTACTTATTGGTATGGATTCATGAACTCCTGTTTTGTTCAATGGCTTATAATTCATTATTGTACTTAATTATTTTGGCACACAAATTGTTCTAAGCTTAGCCACTGGGGGCCACTTCCGGCTGGCTCTTATGACGTTGAAACATGATCCCGTCCTCTTTCATAAGCACTTCCTTACTTTCGGTATAACAAACTGTTTCAGGTATAGCTACTCTGCCCCAGCCTTGGAATCACCCATTTCTCTGAGTAGTCCTTGTTCCTTTGAATGTGAAGGGTATTAGAGACCAGTATCTAGGCTCTAAGTATGCTCACGTGCTGCTTGATTACGGTGATGGTTTCATGGGCTTGTACGTATGTCAAATCTGCCAAATTGTGGGCAGTTTATTGTATGTTAGTATAATACTTAAAACTATTTTACAAAAAGTGGATAATAAAGGAAACAACATGTTTTAAAAAACATTTTTTTCATAAAAGAAAAAGTAGAACTAAAGTATAGTGTTTAGGGATAAAACTTGGGCAATACAACTCCAAAGAAAATCAGTGATTACCATAAAATTCATGAGAATGATCAATTTAGGGAGGAGGGAGTTGGCTATTATTGGGCCCAGGACATGAAGCTTCTAGGCTAGCTGATTAGGTTTTATTTTTTTACATGGATGGTAGTTGCAAAAGTTTCTTCCTTGTAATAATTCATCATATAATTGTTTATGTAATTTTCTGTAGCTTACAATTTTATCATTGTAAGCTAGAAAAGAAAATAAATGAATAAAAATAAATGCTGTTCATATTCATGATATAAATAAATTATTGTTTATTAGAAATTAAAGTTATTTTGCAAGTAGGGCAAACCCATTAAGAATCTAACATTTTTTTGTACATTTATAAACGTATTAAATTAGCTTTCAAAGCTATTTTAAGGTACATTCATATAATAAATTATTAATGAGAAGTCTATACAAACAAACTGGAATATTAATCTTTCTTAATATGTTAACTTTTTGAGTATTGTTACAAAACCGAATCATATAAGATCAAGACAAATGTCTATTTCAGTTTTAGAATTTCCATTTCGTTCTTTTTAATGGTTTCTACTTCTCTACTGAGGTTTTTTATCTTTTCACGAATTAAAGTAGATTTTCCTTTATGTCTTTGAGCGAGTTATAACTGTGCCTTCAGAAATCCTTGTCTGCTAATTTCAGTATCCGGGTCATCTCAGAGTCAGTCCCTATTAACTGTCTTTTCTCTTTAGAATAGGTCATGCTTTTCTGTGTCTTCCTATGTTGAGTAATTTTTTTATATTCTGGACATTGTGAATGTTATGTTATGGAAATTCTAGATTCTGTTATATTTCTCTAAATACTGTTGTTGTTGGTGGTAGGGGTGGTGTTACTTTAAGCAGATAATTAATTTGGTTGGCCTCAAAATGCAAACTCTATCTCTATGGCAACAGCTCAAATCTCAGTTCAGTTCTTTCATCTTTAACTAGGCTGCTTGGAGTCTGCCCAGGGCACCTGTAGTTCAGGGCTCAGCCAGACATATGGGCAGAGTTTATATGCAGTATTTGGGATTCCCTCCCACTGGCTCACTCCCATTTGGGGTTCACTTTTCACTTTCCTGCAGCTGTGGTTGTCCCCAAACACTGTCTTGTAGTTCTTCAAGCCAGAATGACTGTGAGTTTTCTACCAGTTTTCTATCAGAATTTTGGTTCTCCTGTATGGGGCAGACTGGGGCCTGCCCTCAGGTTTAAAATCATTTAAAAAAAAAGCAACAAAAAACCCTGACCCCATGGCTGTCACCTTATTCTCAGTGTCAACTTTCCTCCAGAATCTTCGTGCTTTTGGTCACTTTCACATAGGGGTATTTTCTTTTGTTTGCTTTTTAAATGTTGTCTAAAGCTTAGACATTTTAGTTAAATGCAGATCAGTCTGACAGGAGATTACTTGGCCATTATAGAAGTGGACTGAATATTTATTTCTTTAAAGAAATAATAATATGAAGATGCTAAGAAATTTTTTTATGGATGAGTAAAGTAATGATATGGAAAAGCGCATATAATTGGAATAACAGATTAGGTTATTTTTTGGCAAACAAAAACCTTTTGACTATATATTTCTAATTTCAAGGAAATCTGCATATGTAACCACAAATACAATATAAAGATAGGAAAATTAATAAAGGAAAAACCTGTTTTTATAAAAGGGAAAAAAATTATACTTCAACTATTTTGAAATAAAATATTTGAACCTCTTTTGTATTATTTTAGGAATAAATCTAATGAAGCTGATGAGTGTCAAAGAGAACTTAGAAAACTGAAGTTCGAATCCATTATTTCTGAGTCACGGTATACACTGCAAATTTTTTATTTAATAGTTTTAGTAATTGAATTTGAAACCATATTTTAAATAACATTTAAAATGTACTTAGCTTTTCTTATTGTATTGTTTACATAAACAATACCTAATTCAAGTTTATAATATATTGAAGCTTTCATTGATTTTGCCTTTGCCTGGATGGGAAAATGTTTAAATCACAGAACTATTCATTTACATAACGTTCTTATTTTAAAAATTAAAGTTATACTCTTTAGTTTTAAATGAGATATTTATCTATCTTTGATAAACATAAAAACATAGTATTTAATGCATATTGGTTGGGTTTTTTTCTTATTCCATTTTAGGCACACCAGATTGCTTAAAGAAAAGGAAGACTCTTTAATGACTTGTCAACAAATATATAAAACTTTACAGGAAGAACTGACTGCAAAAGAAAGGCAAGAAGCTGACTTAAAAAGAAGAATTAATCTTGCAGAAAATGAACTGGAAATAACCAAAACCCTTCTGAATCAGACAAAGCAAGAGGTTGTAACACTGAAAAGTGAAAGGTACAGTCAAGAATAATTTCTTCCAAATATATTTTATGTTTAAGTCAGTATTCCATATATATTTGAAACACCAAGGTCCTATATATTTTGATAACAGTAAAATCACAGTATTAAAGATATATTTCACCTGAAAGGTCATTGCATCCCACCACCTCATTTTACAAGTGATTAAACTGAATCCCAAATTGGTTAAATGACTTGCTTAACATCACACAGTTAGTGCAAGTAGAGATGGAACCCACATGGCATTTGGTGTTAGATTTTTGTTGAAAAGAATCAAAAAGATCATGTGTGGTACTTATACTACTGAGCTTTACCTCAGCCAATAATTGGTGGATTCTATCATTTTCCAATAGAAAAATATCTTTTTATGTCACTTTTTCCTTTTATTAGCTCCTACTTTTCTTCTCTCTTTGTTATTTTTCAATACCTGTTATTGGGGACTCTCCATGAGCAAAGATACCTCTGGTGTTGCGATAGTATCAAGGATACTAAGAAGCATATTCCTCCACACAATCTAGATATTTTTGGTCAGTTAATTTGTCTTTAAATTAAACTTACCTGTACTTAGTATCTCAACCCTGCTTTCTGTCTTTTTGTTTTCATTTGCCTGATAATGTCTTTTATTCTTTCTGAGTCCTTTTGTTTTGAATTCATATTGATATATAGCACAAATTTGGGGGGTTTGTTGGTTTTTATTAAATCTAGGAGTCTTTAATGGGACATATTATGCCATTTACATTTATTGATATAACTATTATATTCCATAAGAACAGAAGTTCCATAAGGGCAAGAATTTTTGTCTTGTATTATTCTGTGTATAGAAGGCACAATTGGCTATTTGTTTTTCATTCTTCTATCATATTCTTTCCATTGGAGTAGAATTGTTTTACAATGTTGGCTTAGTTTCTGTTGTACAATGAAGTGAATCAGCTATATGTATACCTATATCCCCTCCCTCTTGGACCTCCCTCCCACTCTCTGCCCCATCACACCCATAACGGAGCACCCGTCACAGAGCACCGAGCTGCGCTTCCTGTGCTTTATAGCATGTTCCCACTAGCTAGCTATTTTTTATGCATGGTAGTGTATATATGTCAAGCCTAATCTCCCAGTTCATCCCACCCTCCTCTTCCCCCTCTGTGTCCACATGTTCGTTCTCTATGTCTACCTCTCTATTCCTGCCCTGCAAATAGATTCATCTGTACCATTTTTCTAGATTCCACATATATGTGTCAACATACGATATTTGTTTTTCTCTTTCTGACTTACTTCACTCTGTATGACAAACTCTAGACCATCCACATCTCTACAAATGACCCAATTTCATTTCTTTTTATGGCTGAGTAATATTCCATTGTGTATATGTACCACATCTCCTTTATCCATCTGTTGATGGACGTTTAGGTTGTTTCCATGTCCTGGCTATTGTAAATAGTGCTGCAGTGAACATTGGGGTACGTGTGTCTTTTTGAATTATGGTTTTCTCAAGGTATATGCCCAGTAGTGGGATTGCTGTATCATATAGTACTTCTATTTTTAGTTTTTTAAGGAACCTCCATAGTGTTCTTCACAGTGCCTGTATCAATTTACATTCCCACCAACAGTGCAAGAGGGTTCCCTTTTCTCCATACCCTCTCCAGCATTTATTGTTTCTAGATTTTTTGATGATGGCCATTCTGACTTGTGTTAGGTGATACCTCATTGTAGTTTTGATTTGCATTTCTCTAATAATTAGTGATGTTGAGCATCTTTTCGTGTGCCTCTTGGCCATCTGTATGTCTTCTTTGGTGAAATGTCTATTTAGGTCTTCTGCCCATTTTTTGATTGGGTTGTTTGTTTTCTTGATATTGAGCCCCATAAGCTGTTTGTATATTTTGGAGATTAATCCTTTGTCCATTGCTTCATTTGCAAATATTTTCTCCCATTCTGAGGGTTTTCTTTTCGTCTTGTTTATGGTTTCCTTTGCTGTGCAAAAGCTTTTCAGTTTAATTAGGTCCCATTTGCTTATTTTGTTTTTTATTTTCATTACTCTAGGAGGTGGGTCATAAAAGATCTTGCTGTGATTTATGTCAAAGAGTGTTTTTCCTTTGTTTTCCTCTAAGTGTTTTATAGTGTTCGGTCTTACATTTAGGTATTTAATCCTTTTTGAGTTTACTTTTGTGTATGGTGTTAGGTTGTGCTCTGATTTCATTGTTTTACATGTAGCTGTCCAGTTTTCCAGGCACTACTTATTAAAGAGGCTGTCCTTTCTCCATTGTATGTTCTTGCCTCCTTCATCATAAATTAGGTGACCATATGTGCATGGGTTTATCTCTGGGCTTTCTAGCCTGTACCATTGCTCTATCTTTCTGTTTTCTGTTTTGCCAGTACCATACTGTCTTGATTACTGGAGGTTTGTAGTATAGTTTGAAGTCGGGGAGCCTGATTCCTCCAGCTCTGTTTTTCTTTCTCAAGATTGCTTTGGCTATTCAGGGTCTTTTGTGTTTCCATACAAATTATGAAATTTTTTGTTGCAATTCTGTGAAGAAAGCTATTGGTAATTTGATAGGGATTGCATTGAATCTGTAGATTGCTTTGGGTAGTATAGTCATTTTCGCAATATTGATTCTTCCAATCCAGGAACATGGTATATTTCTCCATCTGTGTATGTCATCTTTGATTTCTTTCATCAGTGTCTTATAGTTTTCTGAGTACAGGTCTTTTGCCTCCTTAGGTAGGTTTATTCCTAGGTATTTTATTCTTTTTGTTGCAATGGTAAATAGGGTTGTTTCCTTAATTTCTCTTTCTGATTTTTCCTGGTTAGTGTATAGGAGCACCACAGATTTATGTGCATTAATTTTGTATCCTGCAACCTTACCAAATTCACTGATTAGTTCTAGTAGCTTTCTGGTGGCATCTTTAGGATTTTCTGTGTATAGTATCATGTCATCTTCAAACAGTGATAATTTTACTTCTTTTCCAATTTGTGTTCCTTTTATTTCTTTTTCTTCTCTGATTGCCATGGCTAAAACTTCCAAAACTATCTTGAATAAGAGTGGACATCCTTGTCTTGCGAGACTGGACATCCTTGTCTTGTTCCTGATCTTAGTGGATATGCTTTCAGTTTTTCACCATTGAGAATGATGTTTGCTGTGGGTTTGTCATATATGGATGGCCTCTATTATGTTGAGGTAGGTTCCCTCTATGCCCATTTTCTGGAGAGTTTTTATCATGAATCGGTGTTGAATTTTGTCAAAAGCTTTTTCTGCATCTATTAAAATCATATGGTTTTTATTCCTTAATTTGTTAATATGGTATATCACATTGATTGATTTACGTATATTGAAGAATCCTTCCATCCCTGGGATAAATCCCACCTGATCGTAGTGTACAATCTTTTTAAGGTGTTGTTGAATTCTTTTTGCTAGTATTTTGTTGAGGATTTTTGCATTTATGTTAATCAGTGATATTGGTCTGTAATTTTCTTTTTTTGTGATATCTTTGTCTGGTTTTGGTATCAGGGTGATGGTGGCCTCATATAATGAATTTGGGAGTGTTCCTCCCTCTGCAATTTTTTGGAAGAGTTTGAGAAGGATGGGTATTAGCTCTTCTCTAAATGTTTGATAGAATTCGCCTGTGAAACCATCTGGTCCTGGACTTTTGTTTGTTGGAATTTTTTTTTTTTTTTTTTTGCGGTACGTGGGCCTCTCACTGCTGTGGCCTCTCCCGTTGCGGAGCACAAGGCTCCGGACGTGCAGGCTCAGCAGCCATGGCTCACGGGCCCAGCCGCTCCGCGGCATGTGGGATCTTCCCAGACCGGGGCACGAACCTGTGTCCCCTGCATCGGCAGGCGGACTCTCAACCACTGCGCCACCAGGGAAGCCCCGGAATATTTTTAATTACAGTTTCAATTTCATTATTTGAGATAGGTCTCTTCATATTTTCTAATTCTTCCTGGTTCAGTCTTGGAAAATTGTACCTTTCCAAGAATTTGTCTGCTTCTTCGAGGTTGTCCATTTTATTGGCATATAGTTTTTTGTAGTAGTCTCTTATAATCCTTTGTATTTCTGCAGTGTCAGTTGTTACTTCTCCTTTTTCATTTCTGATTCTATTGATTTGAGTCTTCTCCCTTTTTTTCTTGAGTCTGGCTAAAGGTTTATCAATTTTGTTTACCTTCTCAAAGAGCCAGCTTTTACTTTTATTGATCTTTGCAATTGTTTTCTTCATTTCTATTTCATTTATTTATGCTCTGATTTTTATGAGTTTTTCCTTCTACTGACTTAAGGTTTTCTTTGTTCTTTTTTCTCTAGTTGCTTTAGGTGTAAGGTTAGATTGTTTATTTGAGATTTTTCTTGTTTCTTGAGGTGAAATTGAATTTCTATAAACTTCCCTCTTAGAACTGCTTCTGCTGCATCCCATAGGTTTTGGGTTGTTGTGTTTTCATTGTCATTTATTTCTTTGTTTTGTTTTTTTTTTTTTTTTTTTTTTT